AGGCACTGGAGATAAAATGATAAGCAACCAGTGACAAACTCTGTCCTCACAGAACTCACTGTCAAATGGTGAAGACAGACAGCATTCAAATCACACAACTACATAAATATATACTGTCATTAAGTGCTATGAAAGAAACGTACAGTGAACTATGAAAATGAATGTAACAGAGATACCTAATCAAATTGGGTGGTGGGGGGTAGGGGAAAGGCAGCATCAGGGCTTTCTTGAAGATATAGTAGTTGAGCTAAGATCTCAACACTAAACTGAAGTCAACAGGTATAAGGTGAAGGGGTAAGGATAGTTTTAAGAATCCCAGACAGAAAAAAAAAGGCATATACAAAGGCATAATCACAACTGAGAAACTGAAAGAAGGCCAAGAGATCTGAAGCACATAGAAAGGGGGGCATATCAAAAGGACTCCTAACACTGACTTAGAAATTGAAATGGATGGCCTGTAAGTTCCTTTGTTCTAAGTTGATAGTATTTTGTGATCATTTTATATTCATAAATAGCAGACACCCTAAAATTTGTTTATACATTAATAACAGGATTAACAAATACTAAGAACTTTTTAACAAGCAGAACCTGCTATAAATCATAGGCAAAATATAGCATATGAAAAAGAGCTAAAGTTTATATTTAAAAGAGAAGGAAAGAAAAATGTTTAGAACCTATTTTAAAATTTTTACATACATCAATTATAGTCACCAAGTGCTTCTACCTCTGAAGGAGCCAAAGAAGAATCTATTTTCTCTATTTATCTATACAAACATAAGAAACAGAAGTGTCACTAAACGGTTCCTGTGAATAGTAACCATGAATGAAGAATGTGGGCTGGCACACTGGACTCCCATAGGAGCCTTCAGCTCCTTCACTGTAATCAGAGCCAGTCAAGCAGAGAAAGTGATCAAGGGGGAGGAGGGAAATGTGCAAAGGGAGCTGCTAAGACTTCAAAGACAAAACAACGCTGTGACATCATGGAAGTGTGGCTCTTTTGATAGTGCTTAATATGAAGTAAAGAAAGAGATCCTCAAAGTTAAGAATGTGCAAGGCTGGGTGGTTCAATGTTTAGCAATATGGATCCTAAAAATAAAAGACAAAATGATAAATAGCCTAAGACAGTGGGAAAATGTTATATAGTTAGAAGCCCCAGATTCAAGTTCAAAGTCTGACTTGTTCTGAGCCTCTATTTCCTCCTCTGTAAGACAAAATAACATTTGCTGTGCTGAACAGTCTTGTTTTATAACAAATAAAACAATTTATATGAAAGTGATTTTTAAATTGTAAAAAACTGTTTTTATAACAAGTTTTACTAATACTACTATTTCTTTCAGTCAATTAATACTTAATTCCCATTAATAAAGCTGTCCATTCCCTCACATTCTGAAGTCAGAGTCAGAAAACTCTGCCTCTTTATCCTAATTAAGCTTCTCTCAAAACTCACTTCCTAATATAATATCCGCAACATTTTCTGGTCCCCACTTTTAATATTCCCCTTCAATTTGGGAGCATATGCACAAAGGCAGCTGTCTTCCACACAACATGCCATGATAATCAGAAGCCAATTAGAATGATCACCAAACTCCTCTAAAATACACAATTTGCCTCAAATCAGTTAGCCAATCACTTACTACTCCACATTCCAAAACCTCTCATTCAAATTCTATAAACAAATGGGAAAAGCTCATTAACAACCTCATCTGGATGGTCTGTCTCTAAAAAAGACAGCAGGGATTAATTGTGCTTTCCTTTCATTGTTCATCTAGAAGAGTTCAACTACCCAGCGTCTTTTTTTTTTTTTTAAAGCCAACATCAATAAAGACTCATGTTCTATGCCATTTCCCTTAGGTGCTCCAGCCTCAAAAAACAAAGAAAAGCAAATGCAGTCATCACTTACTTGCTCATACATTCACTAAATATTTGTTGATATCCTACTATATGTGGGATATTGTTCTAGACACTAGGAACACAGCAGTGACCAAAAAAGACAAAAATTCCAGCCATAATGAAGCATTAAATTCTAATAGCAGGGAAAAATAAAACCTAACAAATCAGTAACATGTATAGTATGGCAGAGTGTGATAAGTACTAAGAAAAACTTTAGAATAGTGGGTAAATGTGTGTGTGTGTGTATGTGTGTGTGTATGCACATATATGCAAACAAGAGAGAAAAAATCTTTTATATACAGTGATCAGGAAACAACTTGCTGAAAGCATGATATTTCAGTAAAATCTTAAAGGATTGTTAATAAATTATTTCCTCATTTAAAATTTATTTATAATTTATTCATACCATCAGTCATATATACACACACAGACACACACACACCTCCAATTTTAAATCTTATTACAGGAACATAAAATTACTCAATATTACTTTAAAACTGGCTTTGAAAAATAATACTTATGCGCTCTCTCATAACCATATCATAAACACCTAAGCCATGAATGTGGGTGGCAGTTCCCAAGATGGATGGAAAATTTAAATTTAAAAATACCCTAAATAAAGCATGTGACTGTAGTTTAAGTAAAAACACATTACATTTTAGGATTAAAACACACCCAAAGGAATATTTTCAAAGCACCAAATGCATGATCACATTAAAATTTTACATGCAAATCCATAAGCATATCACTAAACATCACACTAAAGTTGAAGATTAGGTGAATTTCCTTAACAGTAAGAAAAAAACTTTTTCCTAGAAATATCGTAGGTACAATTTTTTTATAGTAGTTTACTTTTAGACCCATGCTATAAAGGTTAAAAATGCAAATATATATTTGAGACCCTAGATATACATTTAAATTACAAAGAATAATACGAATATTGTTATTAGAAAGATCAGATTATTTAAACATGCTTGACTCAGTTCATTCTAATTGTGTATGTGACAAGACAAAAAATGAAGAATCCCTGTCCAATTTAAGAATATGCAGTAGATTCTAATAAGCTTAGTCCCTTCTTAGGTATCAAAATTCTAAGCAGATGGTCTGGTCATTCTAATAACATTTTAATGATCTTATGATTTGAAAACAAAACCTACTGAAAACTACTATTTGGATAATTATATAACAGAGTTTCTCAAACGGCATATTTAAAGAATATAATTAAATAGGCATTAAAAACAGCATGATGTTGGGACTTCCCTGGTGGTCCAGTGGTAAAGAATCCGCCTTCCAATGCAGGTGAGGCAGGTTCGATACCTGGTCAGGGAACTAAGATCCCACATGCTACGGGGAAAGTAAGTCCACGCACCACAACAGCTGAGCTCACGCGCCTCAACGAGTGAGAGAGCCCACATGCCCTGGAGCCAGCACACCACAAGCAGAAGAAGCCCCCTGCGCCACCAACTAGAGAGAAGCCCACGTGCCGCAACTATGACCTAACTCAGTCAAATAAATAAATAAATAAATAAATAAATAAATAAATAAATAAATTGGGGGGCGGAGCATGATGTTTATTTAACCACCAATCCCTTCTCCCAAAATCCGGGGTAGGCAAACCACATAGGCTAAATCTCGCCCACTTCCTGCTTTGTGAATAGAGTTTTGCTGGAACACAGTCACACCCATTCATTTACATATTGGGTATGACTATTTTTGTGTGCTCTAATAGCAGAACTGAACAGCTGAGACAGAGCCCATATGGCCCACAAAGCCTAAAAGGTTAGTTATCTTGCCTTTAGTAAAATGTTTCCCAGCCCCTACTTTAAAGGACTGGTAAAATCTTCTACACATAGGCACAGTCTTACTTGGGTACTGGCCTCATCCTCACAATTTTTTCCTTAGGAAACCACACCCATCCTCATCAAGTTGAAAATGTCTTTTTGAGGAGTATTGTCTTTAAAGGCAAGCTGACTCAGGGGTTCTCAGACTCACCTTTCAAATACTAATTTCTAGTTTCTAGTGTGGATGCCATTCAGCTGCAAATGCTACTATAACAAATTCTGCTTTCAAGTGGTTTTGCATCCATGCATATGTACACTGCTTCGAATATTCACCTCCATATAGTCTCTGTGTAGTTAATTATGAATCTTTTCATGGTTTCTACTTTGAACTTAGTGCAGTCATGCTTAACATATTTTCTATAAGTTAAAGTTCTAGTCACATAATGTTAACTGAGCTCTACTCTTAGGCAGCTATTTGAAACCACCTCATTGGCCAATTAATTCTAAAGAAAAAATTCAGACTCCTGACCCTTTTAAGAAATCTGTTTATAGCTAACTTATTTCTAGCATCATGGTCTTGGCTTTACCAACTACATACTAACTGAACTCATGGCTGACATCAGGCTCTATTTACTATACCTTCATTGATAGTTCCAGTATCTCCTCTCAATATGAGAGGTGTGGATCTGCTATTATGGTGTGAATAAAATGGAACAGATTCTAGGCAAAGTGCTTCTAGAAAAAAATTTAACTCTAAGAAATAAGAGCTTGACTTCTGAGTTTTTTCCTTTATTACAACATCAATATCTTTTCCTTTTTGTAAAGGCACAGAAGGCCCAAACACCTAACTTTACCATGGCAAACTATGGGTCACAAAGTGCTACTATCCCAAGAAAAATATTTTCTCTTTGCAATGTTTTAAATTTCTTTTACTCCTTTCTATGTATTACATGATATATTTAAAAACTCAGTTGGGTTTAGTAGTAGTAGTAGTTGAATCTGAGATTAACTGTTATACATACAACTGAATTATCTCAATAAAATAGAGTAAAATCATTATTGTTTGTAAACACATCATTTATCAAAAATGATATAAAATACTTCATTTGAATTTTCAAAGAGCGTAACTGCGGAGTGTATCCCAATGGACACAAATGAAAAAGAGAGGAAGAAAGAAATGGAGGGAGGGAGGGAAGGAGGGAGGGACGAAGTTAAGGAAAGGAGAAAAGGAAAGGAGAAAAGGAAAGGAGAGAAGGAAAGAAAAAAAGTCCAATTTTAAAAGTCTTGCTGGAAAAGAAAATGCAAATAAGTGAATAATGATGTACTTACCGGAACTGTGGCAGTAGTCCATATACTGTGGAACTAGGGCTGTGAAGGCTATTAAATCTGGAGCTAAGAGAGATTCTGGCTTTCTACTCTCATTGAGCCACCTGCTGCTATGAAGGTCTTTAGTGTCAGAAGGACCCTGAAGCAATGGAATTAACTTCTCTTTTCCACTCTCACCTGAACAGAAATATTTATGAAAAAGAAACTCTTATCAATAAAACATAGGAGTACCCCGAAGATGTTTGATCTTAAAGTATACTAACATCATAATATAAAATTTCAGTTTATACTTGGTAATTCTAGCAGAACATTTAGTTATACTCTAAAAAGTATGACTGATAAAATTAAAAGCACTTTTAACTCTTAAAAGGTTGTTTTAATATTTAGCTAATGAATGTAGAACATGTTCAGAAAAGCTTATAAAATAAAACAACATGAACACACTGTATTCTAAATATTCAATGGAATTTGTACCTGTTTAATCTTATTTAGACATTGAATTCACACTGGAAAAAATTAAATAACAAACAGTTTAAGGAAAATATTATGAAATAAAATATTGGAAGGAAGGCAAAATCAATTACAACATTCAGTTGAAAAACAGCTGGGTTTTCTGTTTAATTTCATTATACTAATAACATTTTAATTTAATTTTTAAGTGTCATATACATCTATACCTCCTATCCCCCCCCAAAAGTGTAAGAATAAACTTTCCTTTAATATTTCCTCCCTCATAACCATTATTAAAACTATGCAAAGTTTTTTTCCTTAAATAAAAATTAACCTATTAATGTCAAGAAGTATCATCCTGGCACAATTAACAATTTTTTTCAAGTAAAAATAAAAAAATTTAAAATCTCTGATTCATAGGAACAATGAGTAAATTCTTGTTTCAGTAACGCTCCTTGTAAAACGCACGGCCAATTCTCCTACACAGGCAATAAAGTTTTACACGGTCCAGCTGCACATACCTGGGGCTTTGGCACAAACTTTTATTGATCCCATGGTCCCAGAGGCACATTTGACCAATGATGTGCTGCAGTACTTCAATTCAACATTCTGGATTGAGCCCTCAAGAGTTGGCAGGGGATTCTTAGATTTCACACCTAATAAAAGAAAACTGCAAATGTACTAGCCGATTGAATTTAAATAATTTTTATACTCCTTCACCAAGGCATTTAGACTTAATTATACTTTAATTATCTACCTCCGATGTTCTTACAGTATTTGTGTCAGCCTTCACAGTTCAGTGTTTAGGAGTTAAAAAGATGCAATTTTAAAATAAATGGGCTGAACCTGCATAACTATACTTATGCAAATTTGAAACAAATATTTGTTTAAAAATCAGGAGACTAAAAAATCATATTTGGTTTTAGAACATAGAGTAAGATTTTCAATTTGATACAAATTTAACTTATAAATTGAGTTTCATTTAGGCAAAGACATTTAATTTAAGCATGAAACTTCCTACGTAAACAGCCTCCTCAAAATATCTTGGCCAGGTGGGGTGAAGAGAGAGAAACAAGATAGCTCAAAACAGCTCCTAAGTTAAAATACAATAGCTTATAAGCAAAATTGACATCCCATGTGTAGCTAAAAGAAACTAAGGGGATTCTATATCAATTAACAAAAAAAGTGAATATTAACATCTCTACTGTATGCTACTTGCTGAAGAACATAAAAGCATAGAAGGGAACAATTACCATGACATAAATGGTAGGGAAAACTTAATTCAAAAAGGAGAGACTCATTTTGGCCCTGAAGGGTAGGTGAGAATTAAAAAGGCAGAGAAACCTTAAGAACATTACACTAACATTATTGCAAACCACTAAAATAATGATAATGATGATGAACTCTAATCAACTAACATTTACTGGAGGACTTACTATGTGTGATACACACATCTCATTCAATCCGCACAACAGGGCTGTGATAAAGATGTTATTGTTATCCTCATTTTTACAAACTGGGATATAATGGATTAGAGGAGTTAAGTAATATTTGCTCAGTCCTACAGCAGAGAGAAAGAGCTGAGGTGTTTAACACAATTTGATCCTATCACAGAAAACTTCACCGCTCATTTCACCTATATTCATGAAGAATGGCCGCCTTTTCCCCATTCCACATTCCAATCAAATATATATTATCCTTCATATTTGAAACTCCTTTAAGGAGAACTAAGTATGAATAATTAAGAAAATCATGAACTTTTTATGACAGACATATTAAACATTACTCTAAAATCTTTGATCTCAAACTCTGGTGCATTCAAGAAGCCCCATAGTCCTCCAAGAGTCTTCCTGAGATGTGGCCCAGGAACCTGCAGTTTAACTAACACACTACATGGTCTGCCAGTAGTTAAAGGACATCATCTTGAGAAATACCTTCTCACATAATAATCTTTACTTCAGAAGGACCTATAAATTTACTGATTCCTATTTGACTGTTATATAAACATGTATCAATTGGTTGCTATTCCCCAATATTCACCACCTGTGTTATTTCCATTTGCAGTGGTACCTATTATCCTCAAAGCAGGAGTCTAAATGCTTTGTATTTATACATTTTTCTATGATTTTATCAGTTTTTATCAAATTCTCAAAATCTATGACTCAAAAAACTTAAGAAGCAGTATTTCAGAAAGTTAAATGATGCCAACTATACGAAATAAACATAGCAGTAGTAGTAACAGTTGTAGCAGTACTAGTTATAGTACCTAACACTCAATGACTAAGTGCCATGCACTATGCCCAGTTTGTTATTTTTATTCATCTCAAAAGAAAAAAAAAAAAAAAAGGTAGCTATTACTATTCCACTTTACATTCAGGAAAACCAAGGTTTAGAGAAATAAGGATTTTGCCCAGGCTCAAGCCAGAAAGTGGGCAGGTGTGGTTCACTTTTCTCTTCATAAGAAAAGAAACTGAGTTACCCTGCATATTTACCATCTACTGTGGATACAGAAGTTATAATCAGTGGATAATTTACGCTGCTCCAATCATTATGTTAAGTGATGAGAGGGATACAAAATGGAATAATACCCTCCTCTAACTCTCAAGTCCCCAGAGTCAGACTCTCATTCTACGCCAATTTTTTGAAAAAACTTAAAGAATCTAGATAGTGATGAGCAGACAAGAGCTAATCAAAGATTCTCTCAAGAGGGCTTCCCTGGTGGCACAGTGGTTGGGAGTCCGCCTGCCAATGCAGGGGACGCGGGTTCGTGCCCCGGTCCAGAAGGATCCCACATGCCGCGGAGTGGCTAGGCCCGTAAGCCATGGCAGCTGGGCCTGCGCATCCGGAGCCTGTGCTCCGCAACGGGAGAGGCCCGCGTACCACAAAAAAAAAAAAAAAGAAAAAGAAAAAGAAAAAGAAGATTCTCTCAAGGGTTACTGATGGTGTTAAGAACCAAAAGAATTGAATTAGTTCTGGTAGATGCAAAAATAAATATGAATAGACAAAAATGGCTTTTTAAAAAATTATTTTATAAGCTGCTTCTTTTACAGTTTACACCAAGTTTAGGACTCTACCTTGAATCTGAAATGATACGTCTTTGTTAATATCTAATGCATGCCATATATAAGACTCTTATCAGAAGAAGTTGCCGGAAACCTCTTCTGATCAGAATCACTTATACATATATAAAGCATCTTAGTTTAGACTAATACTATCAAGAAATTATTTCACTTTTTATGATCATTACATTTCTCAGATTCTAAAAAATATATTTATTTATTTGTTTATTTGGCTTCATCGGGTCTTAGTTGCGGCATGCAGGATCTAGTTCCCTGACTAGGTATCAAACTGGGGCCCCCTGCATTGGGAGTGAGGAGTCGTAGCCACTAGACTGCCAGGGAAGTCCCTCTCAGATATTTTTAAACTTGTTTTAGTAACTAAAACATCCTGCATACTTTCTCCTTAAGAAAACTTTTTCAAAAAGTAATTTGTTTTTAATGGCTCAAGCTCAGATTTTTTAAAAGATAATTATAGTCATCTTTTGATAGACTTCAACAATGGAGGAAAACTGCTAGTAAAAAATAACCTCAGTAATGTAAATTATGGGCTTTGGATGATTATGATGTGTCAATGTAGGTCCATCAATCGTAACAAATGTGCCCCTCTGGTAGGTGATGTCAATACTGGGAAAGGCTGTGCAGACCAAGAAGGAGGCAGAAAGTATATGGAAAACCTCATATCTTCCTCTCAGTTTTGCTGTGAACCTAAAATTACTCTAAAGAAGAAAAAGTATTAATAAAAAATAATTTAAAAATAAACTTGGTTTCTTTCCACTCTACCATCAAACCAAAATTTGTAAAATACCCCAAACATAAGCACTATGGAGGTAGAAAGGAGCAGAGTCTTGGCATTGCACAACTCAGGGCACCATTCACATTTTTTTCTGTCTACATGAATGCAACTTCCTGAAACTGTGAAAGGAAATCTCCTGTTGGGAATGCAATATGGTGAAACAAAAAGACCAAAAGCTCTGAAACTGAAAAAGCAAGGCTTCAGATACAGGTAGCATTACATATCTAGTAGTTATGTGCCTTAAGGCAAGCCACTATAATTGTTCCATGTGGAGGCCAAAATACTACAGTTATTGTTCAAGGTATTTAACTCTGAGAAATCTGCTGAACTTTATACAGAACGTAATTTAGGGAAGAGGTGCAAAATGTTGATAAGATGTATAGTCAGCTGACATGAGTCAATAGGACAATCACAAAGACAGTGACAATATCTTACATTTGAAATAATGACTTTACAAAGCACTCTCATGTGGATTTACTCAAATATTGCTGTCATATTCTACTAGAGGAAGGAAAGAGGAACTCCCTAAGGCACTGCAATTGAAATACAATTTTACATAGTATACACTTTCAACGGAATAATCTAAAAATAATAGTGAATTTTTGTAATACAATTTAATATAAAAAAATGCACTGTTACTTTTTCTCCTTAGAGTATTTTTCTGAAAAATATTAACTCTGAACACACATTCTTAGTCCTGTGGTGAACCCTTAGCTCAGATTCTTTTTACACTGCCTTTCTTGCCTGACATAATTCTCCTGGCCTCACAGACACGTTAACCCCCTGTGTTCAGTAATCAACTTATGATCACTCTTATAATTATCGTCCATAAATCAGAAGATGAAATAATGAGAATGACCTGTAATCTGTGTGGAAGTAAAAGATTAAGGAGTCAAGCCATATGTAAGTTTAGCTCTGTTTCCTCCTTAATTTTTACGGGCCTAAACCAACAAAGAAATGAAAATGAAAAGATAAGCACTATATGTGCAACTCTCAAAGAGGCAAGAACTGTCATCAAAATTTCAGAAGATGGATGCTGATGAACAAGTAACAACAAGATGACTTAGAGAAAAGTGCCCGTGCGTTATTAAACTAAAAAGCAAGTTGATCTGCAATAAGCCCTGGAAAGATAAGAATTAAAGAAGCCAGGCAGTTCAGAGGGCAAGAATGCAGATGAGGCTAAAAAGATGAGCAGTGACTGAAAGTCTATCTAATAACCACACAACCTTTGTTTTAATTCGTGAAGCCATGCAACTACCCCACACTCATCCTGGCAAAACACTGAAGGGTTCACGCTGGAGAGGTTGAACCAGAAGGACTTTGAACTAAGGGATAATACCAAGGAAAAGGCTGCATGCTAAAAATGGGAGATTGTTTAAAAATCTATATAAAATAGATGTACTGAATAATGAAATATCCTTTTCTTTTACTCTCTAGGGACGCTGAATGCCAGAGTTACAACCTGCAGGAAAGAAATGGAAGGTTTTCTATCTGTGAAAACTGGCCAGTCCAAGAAAAAGGAACCAGAGATACTCATAACTGATTATCCCCAAACAACAACAACAAAAATGAGTAAGTGTCCAATTCCCCTACAATAACACCAGCCATTCAATAAGCTCCAACCTCACACATAGGTTCCCAATTAGTTATTTAGTATTTTATTCTACAATATGAGGGCTCATCAGAAACTAGGTATAAATCACTAACATGAAAAGTAGAGATAAAAAACAAACACAGAAAAGGAACTTGGGGTAAAAAGATAATGCTGGGAACAGAAAACTTAGGTAATAATAATTATATTATT